TCTTGTAATGGACTTTTTATAAGTGACCGCTGCAAGACGTTGTCTGTTATAAGTCTTTGATAGGAGTACACCTGCATGACATTGTCACCAGTGTCATTGTCAACTATATGTCGTTTAGGATTCACAGCAAGTGCGACGATGTCACTAAAGCCTCATTAGTGACTATGTCACCGGTGACCATTTTCGCTACTGGGTTGATGTATCTGTACTGTAGTGATTTCTTACTGCCAATATAGGCTTTAATAAATATTTTGTAAAAATGTTTTAAAATATTAAAAAAGTAAAGCGTATTTGACATACATAAATGCATATCGTCGTTTAAAGTGCAAAACCACGTATCAACAAAATGCAAAACCGCGTATCAGCAAAATGCAAAACCGCGTATGTGAAGTTGTAGAAATTACGTTCTAGAGCGTAGAAATACTCGTATTTCAAAATGGTTCTCATTTTTATAAAGCAATCCATTTCTGGCTAATATATTTCAGAGCGAATGGATAAGGATTGAGCCAAGAGCTTGTGTGAGCAAATCTAATTTTTTGCAGCCAATGTCAGTTAGGCGGTTTTGCAGAATGACGATACGCGGTTTTGTACTTTAAACGACGATGTCGTCGTATGTACATATGTATGAGGTGGCATAGAAAAACATTTATTTTGGTTACCGTGTCTCAATTAGGTATGCAAACGATAAATCGTTATTAGCGATATTGATATTTTTATCAGGATGTTTTGAAAACCGATATATGACATGGACGATATTTTTTGTTTCCTATAGACAGTGTAAGCAGGGTTCGGAAATATTCACTCACCTTCGTACGCGAACGCGAACGTTTACGTATCAAATATTCCCTATTGGTTCTCCTTCGCGAACGAGAAGAATAAAACAAGTCCAGTCGTTCGCGAATGATAGGTAGAAAAAATTTCCGCTGTTGTTCATACGCGTATGCATTGGTAGACCAAATAGCCTGCGTTCATATCAGTGTTGTCACTTTGTGAGTAATTCCTCGAAACGTGAGGAATTTTCGGTGCGCTTGAGTATTTTTTGAGGATTTTTATTTTGAGGAATTTTACTTCGATACATTTGCAAAAAAAAACTTTTCGAAGTTTTACAAGGAGCGAAATACACCACACAAGCGGTTTGTCTAACATTCTTCAAGCCTACTTTTCGCATTTCGCCATACACCATGCAAACATGACTCGTTCAAGTAAAGAATTTTAGTTTTCTTTCGGTTTACAATGTAAAAAATTTTGGTTTTCTTCGATTTTTCTCTCTTGCGTCAAAATGACGGCCAGAAAAGCAACGTTATATTTTCAACTTATTTTGAACTTGCAAAATCTCGTTATCGAATGAAGAGAACACGCCCAGCAAAAAACAGCAAGCCTAGAAACCCACTGGAAACGAGATTTAACTCTTGACAATGTTTAAAACGTTCAGTAGTTTTAATTTTAGCAGTTTTTTTTTTTAATTTGATCACCATATTGGATCCGCCATTTTGAATTTAAAAAAATTGACTTCAAGTTCGTAATCAACTACCCAAAAAACTCTCGAGTGCCGGGTTTCGAACAAAGACAAAAATTAAAAAAAAAATTGATCGCCATTTTGGATCTGCCATTTTGAATTTTGAAAAAACTGACTTCAGATTCCTAATTAGCAACCCCAGAAACCCCCTGGTAACAAGTTCCAACCCATGACAATGCGTAAATCGTTCAGGATCAACGTTTTAATTTTACTAGTGTGTTTTCTAGAGCATATTTTCGGCTAGCTCCATTCTAACTGTCCAAGACAGGTTTGTAATTAAGGGAATGTTCCCTAATAATACCAGAGTAATTTTACGTAGAGACCACATTTTTGGCTGCATTTTAACATGTCACGAAAATAAAAAAAATGAGAACATCAGCGTTTTTATAAAAAACCGACCAGCGCGACCTCTAAACAAACTTTTTTCAAAATAAAAAAATACGTGCCTCTTTTTTTATTACAAATAACAATATTCGGATGTAGTTTTTATTCCAAAAATAGTGTTTTTATGAACCACTCTAATGGGCATGTCATTGGCCGTAAGCCCTTACCCGCAGCATTACCTTCGAACGAAGAGAGAACGCATAGATAAACAGAATCCAGAGAAGCGAACAAAGAATGTCTTACAGAGAAACTAATGTAGAACGCCTAGATAAGTATACACTTATTTATATAAAATTTAAAATAGAAAATACAGATTGTCTTATAAGGTTAAAATTTTTATAAATCAGTTTTAATACATACATTTAGGTATTTAGATTTTACTGATTAATCGGTATGTACATACATGCATATTTAATAAAGCTTAAAATTGTACTTCCTCACTCTTGTACTTCACTTTATTGACTGGCTTCAACTTCGCTACAAAGTGAACAAAGCATAACATGATTTTTATGCGAGATAAATTTTCACAGGAAGTAACAGTAGAAAAAGAATTTTTGGATATTCATTCTATTTTTCATCTGACTACGATGCAGCATTCTACCTTGCATTCCCTGAAATGAAAAGAAGCGAAACAAATAAAATATTGTAGGACATTCTACTTTGCATTCACCGAAATGAAACAAAGAAGCGAAATAAATACAATATTGTAGGACATTCTACTTTGCATACCTAAAAGAAGCGAAAAAATTCGAAGGCATTATAACGCTATGCCTTCTAGAACACGTTACCACTAAAAGCGATTACCGATTTTTTACTGGGCACATTTTTTGATCATAAGAATATTCATATTGATACTTTATTTTAGATTGAATTAAAAGATTCCTCAGGTTCATATAAGTTTCCCAATAAAAAAAATATATATATATGTATCTATATTACTAATATAGCTATTTTCTAATGCTTTAGCAGAACGTAGATTTAGTAGTTTAAGAATATGTAGGACTGACTTGAGAACCAGATTGAGCACTGATATCTTCTTCTTTATTGGCGCTGTAACCGCCTAAGCGATTTTGGCCGATTCCAAAACAGCACGCCAGTCATTTCTCTTCTGTGCTAACTGCCGCCAATTGGAAATGCCAAGTGAAGCCAAGTCCTTCTCCACCTGGTCTTTCCTACGCAGAGGAGGCCTTCCTCTTCTTCTGTTACCAGCATCGCGGCCCGCGTTGAATATTTTCAGAGCAGGACCGTTTCTGTCCATTCGAACGACATGCATTCGCTGCACTATGTCTATATCGTTGTAAAGCTCATACAGCTGATCGTTAAATCGTCTGCGATATTCGCTATCGCCAACGCGTAAAAGTCCGTAAATCTTTCGCAGAATCTTTCTCTCGAAAACTCCAAGAGCCGCCTCATCAGATGCTTTCATTGGCCATGCCTCCGCGCCATACACCAGCACAGGCATGATGAGTGACTTATAAAGTGTGATCTTTGTACGACGAGAGAGGACTTTACTTCTCCATTGCCTACTCAGCCAAAAGTAGCACTTGTTGGCAAGAGTGATTCTCCGTTGGATTTCAATGCTGACATTATTATTGGTGTTAATGCTGGTTCCCATATAAACGAAGTCGTCTACTTTTTCAAACTTGTAACTGTCAACAGTGACGTGGTTGCCAAGACGCGTATGCTCTGACTGTTTGTGTGATGACAGGAGATACTTTGTTTTGTCGTCGTTCACCACCAGACCCATTCGCTTTGCTTCTCTATCCAATCCCGAGAAGGCAGAACAGACGTAGGCCATGTTTTTACCGATAATATCGATGTCGTCGGCATACGCCAGCAATTGTACGCTCTTGTAAAGTATTGTGTCTGAGCAATTCAGTTCTGCGGTTCTTATTATCTTCTCCAACATCAGATTAAAGAAATCACACGGAAGGGAGTGCCCTTGTCTGAAACCTGGTTTGGTATCAAACGGCTCGGAGAGGTCCTTCCCTATTCTGACGAAGCTGGTGGTATTGCTCAACGTCATTTTACACAGCCGTATTAGTTTCGCGGGGATACCAAATTAAGACATCGCGGCATAAAGGCAACTTCTCTTCGTGCTGTCGAAAGCGGCTTTGAAATCGACAAATAGATGGTGTGTGTCGATCCTATTCTCGCGGGTCTTTTCCAAGATTTGGCGTATTGTGAATACCTGATCTATGGTGGATTTTCCAGGCCTAAAGCCACACTGATAAGGTCCAATCAGCTCGTTGACGGTGGGCTTCAGCCTTTCGCACAATACACTCGATAAGACCTTATAACCTATGCTTAGAAGGCTGATTCCGCGGTAGTTGGCGCGTATGGCGGGGTCGCCTTTCTTGTGGATTGGGCAGAGCACACATAAATTCCTGTCGTCGGGCATGCGTTCATCTGACCATATTCTGCATACGAGCTGATGCATGCACCTCATCAGCTCCTCGCCGCCGTACTTGAATAGCTCTGCTGGTAGGCCGTCAGCTCCAGCAGCTTTGGTGGTTTTCAGCCGCGTAATCGCTTTCGTACCTCGTCATAGTCAGGTGGTGCGACAGCTACTCCATCATCATCGACTGGGGACTCGGGCTCGTCTTCTTCACTACTGTCAGCGCTTCTGCCATTCAGTAGGTTGTAAAAGTGGTCCCTCCACAATTTAAGTATATTCTGGACATCGGTCACTTGTTGTTCTTACAGGAGTTCGCCTGTCTTGAAGGTCTTGAAATCTTCCGTAAGTCGCCTAACCCTCTGGTAGAATTTTCGGGCGTTCTTCCTATCGGCCAGCATCTCAAGCTCTTCTTACGTATTTCGGCCTCTCTCTTCTTATTGCGGCAAATACGTCTCGCTTCCTTCTTCAGTTCCCTATAACGCACACTGGGGTAATTGATAGCAAAAAGTGTGATTAAATCCGCCAAGCCGCTCAGTAACGGAATTTATATTTTTTTAGTTAACAAACAATTATAAGCTATAAAAAACATCATACCATATACTTTAATGGAACTTTATTTTTTTCATAAATTTTAATGAAATACATATCCAATACTGAAATATAGAGCGGTTGTAAAATTTTTTTTTAAATTTTTTTATGTTATCAATCATCTGACATTGAGTCATTAGCAAAAACATCATCATCATCGTCTTCTTCTTTGCTTTCGTAATCATCATTATATTTGATATCATCATTTTTGTCATTATCTTCTTTTGCGGGTTTGAGGAGCTCCACAACTGCTTTAGGCAAAGTTTGAATTTTTTTCTTTGGCAGCTTTCTTTTAGAACATATTAAAGGATCTGAAGTGATCAAAAACCTATTAAAAATGTCTTCATTTGCCTTCTGCCTACTACATTTTCGAGCAAAATCCTCCCTGAAACGTTTGAAGTCTTTGTTTCGGGCCTCCTGAGCCTCTTCGGACAATCGACCTATTGGCAACAATGCATGAGAGACTATTTCCGGTCCATGTATAAAATATTTATGCAGCGTTGGAGGCATATAATACCAAGGATATTTTTGAACAAACAATCTGGCAGTACTCAAAGCAAATTGACGAAACTTCTCTACTTCAATTTCATGTCCACTTGAAACGGCAATCATCAACATATGCATTTTTGTTATTAATTCAACATCAATTTTTGTAATTTCTGATGAAACTTCAGCGTTTTCAAAAAATCTCCTTGCAGTATTGCCGTCATTTGTGCTTCCATAGCCAGGCTTTGGTTGGTCGACAATTAAACCAATTCTATCCCTAAACTCCTTTGGGATACGAGCTTTGTTTTCAGATACAATTTCTTTTTCATCTACTAGTCTTGCTTGCCATTTTTTTATTGGAAATTTATATGACACTTGGAGAAGGCATTCAAAAAATCGTATCCAACCATGAAGAATCGATAAACCAAATTGAATATTGTTCATATTCACCTCCCTTTTTACCATATTATCGATGTCGTTTAACTCCTTACTTGTAGCTCCGCATAAATAACATGATTGTGTAGACTTTGTGCCCGTAAGTGCGTTGCAGACTTTTCCATCTACCATTGTCAGCATTAAATTGTGACGCACTTCTAGACGTTTATTGTCAATAAATACAATAGAATTTCCGAGGTTTCTTATTTCTGCATCAACCCGTGCTTTTTCGGTTTTCGAAACTTCGGCAGACTCTTTAACAAACTCCATTTTTAATGGTCTGCAATACCTTGTGGATGAAGGACGAGGGTTCACCCAAATTATTTTGGTCTTGTAAACCAACCTTAGTGGTACTATACAAGTTATAAATACCGATGAATCGCTTGCACTCGGGCCATGAAATACTTGCTTATACAAGCTATGCCCAGAACTCCCATCAAAGCCCCATTTCGAGTACAAGCATAATTCATATAAATTTTCCTCATCAAGTATTTCAAATACACCTTTTTGTGACAGCATTATACGTTCAACGGTATGATCTAATAGGCCTTGCAAACTCACTTTTACTGAAGTTTCATCTATTTTAATACATTCGCGTTTAGGGTAACAATCTTTTTTCGCAGACTGCACGTATGTATAGCAAGGAAATTTTTCTGGAGCAGACTGGCTTATGATGTTGTACTGATGACGGGACAATTTAGCTTCTACCAAAACAGACAACGCTTCTTCTTTTGACATCTGTTTATTTTTTCCAGCATTTTGAACACTTAACCGGTACTTAGTCGCATTAGCCGGTGATTCCGATATTTCTTGCATCACTTTCGACGCATCTAACTGTCCCGCAGCTCTCAGACCCATTTGAGTTGCATGAACTAGCAAAGGCAGAGGGGCAGTCTTTCTAAGCGCTAAAGATTTCTTGCGTTTAGTTGGTTCACTACATTCTTCAAAGGGTACCTCCATGCGGCCCCGTTTATGTGTTTTACAGCAGCTAAAACCAATCGAAGAATCTAACCAATCTCTGTTGGACTGCAGGAAATATTGCTGCTTCCTTGCCGATGCATACCAGCGAGTTTTGAAATCAAAACAGAATTTATTTATCCTCTCGTTAAATTCTTTCATATTTTCAGAGGAAACTTTAGTTCGTTCTCTTATCTCTTCTTTCAGAAATTTGAACTTTTCTTGGAGCTGACTACAACCGGAGTTTTCCATAATTTCATAAAGGCTTCGACGAAGAAGGAATACGGTAGTTGAACTTGTTCCTAAAGGGAAGTTTGGAAGTTTCTATACACAAAAAATAAACATAGTGAACAGTCACAATTACTTTCTACGCAGCATTCTACAGAATAGGGACTTAATCCAAAATATTTCCTACCTTTACCCCTATGTAAACAAACAGAAGCTACATCACTAATTGTTGACGTTTATTATTTTATTAAAATAAAAACAAAAAAAGGGACCAACAAAAGCAACATGAACACTGCAACGTAGATCACCTTTACCCCTCCACTAAACAAATAGTAGCTTCGCCACTAGCTGTTAACCCTTATTAATTTATAAAAACAAAAGAAAACAAAACAAATAAAAAAACAGCAACAACAATAGCTACACTTACTTGATGTACACTAGGGTGGAGTGAAAAAAGTTAATTTTAAGTAAAGTTTTTTTTTAAATGTAAAAAATTTCACAAAATTTCAAACTTAAAGCCAAATGTGCGACCTCAAGATGATTTCGTAAAAATTAAATATTTTACAGAATTGTTACTAAGTCTCATACACAGTAGATGAAGGGTGCCCGTTCCCGAAAACAAAAATTAACTTTTTTCACTCCACCCTAATGTACTCATATCAAGTTTCCGTTGTTTTGCTTGAATATATATACATACATACATATTTCAATTGCATGGGCATACAAAAAAATATATTTTTCTTAAAAACCGCAGAAAATCTGCAAACTTTTTTTTGTTAACATATCACTTATAATTGCTGTTTCAAAAAAAAAATAAACTTTCACTGAATTGAGTGGTATTCACATCTATATGCTTACTATATACCCAAAAGCACACATTTTATAAGCCTGCACGGAGAAAAACATTAAAAATACAAACAGACACTTTTTGTACTAATATATTTCATTTTAAGTTCAAAAAATACCTGAGGTAGAAGGTTCCATTGCTCAAAAAACTATCCTTTTTAATTTTTCAAGAAAAATCACTTGGAAATATCAAAACTCTTCTGTTTTTACTATGCGCGCACCAAAGTAAAGAAAACGTCAAATTGGCAATCGCAGTGCATGGATAACGTTAATTTTTTTTTCAATTATTGTTTCACATAGTGATGTAGAATTCTATTCTCTTTCGAACGATTCCAATCATGGTTGGGTATCTTCGATTTGATTTTTTTTATTTATCACACAAATTGCAATGAAATACTCCAATGTGTAACGGTCCCATATGGCTCGCGTTGCGCTCGATCCCAGCGTGGCCCTGTAGGCGGCATCTTTTTTCTCTGCGACTTCTTGACATTCCTCATCGTACCAGTTGTTCTTTCGGGCTCGCTGAAATCCAACTACTTCTTCGGCGACGGTGAGCACTGATATAGTTACAGCAATATTATATACAAAGCAAGGCATAACAAATAATGGTGATACTTTGTTTGAGCCGCAAGAACAAATGTACCAACTGAATTGGAGAATGTAATTAATTTTTATACTAAGTACCTGTAAATAGTAGTACATAATACTCATATCTGTAATAAGAAAATTTTGAGTAATTTGTTCGGATTTTTCATTTGTTTTTTGAGGAATTTGGCAATTTTTTTGTGGCAACACTGGTTCATATATGTAGCAATAAGTGGCATCGCTGCCTTCGTGACTGCTGTCGTTCTCGTTCATAAGTGAATGTAAATTCTGCGTCAAACATTCGCGGAAAGTTGTTGTGGATACTATTCTGTGCGAAGGAAATTTTGTTAATTGCATAGGATTTGCACCGTTCATTCGATTTTCAAAAATAATGTGTCACAGCTCACACAATCATATATTTCGATTTTGCTAAACGATGAGAGAATGAAGAGAATAAGTCACTCACGCGTCTGATGCAAATAGTGTTGTCAACGATTTCTTGTTGCAAATTATAAGATGTAGAACGCTTTATTTTCTGTTTTATTTTATATATTTTTATTTCCGTCGACCTCTCATCGAGTGCGTATTTTTCGAATGCCTTCTTTCTTCCCTTTTTCGCCCTCCTCTTTTTTTTCCTTTTTTCATGTTTCAATTGTCCAGTTTTTGTCTATTCGTCTTGTTCTTGTCCGTTGTACGTTATTGCCACATATTAGGTACTTTACAAATTTTCTTTATCATTGAGTACAGTGTTGCCATGCAAATTCATTATTTCCAGGCGCTAAGTATTGCCATACATTACATCTTCGGCCTATCCTGACATTAAATCGTCCGCGATTTACAAGTTATGATTAATATCAGTTGGCAATGTTTACCTCCTTTAATAATAACTTAACCAATAACTAATTCTAATATCTAAGTGCCGCCTTTAGCGGAAACGCGGGATCTGTCAATTTTGTACCCATTTTTTATTCTCGCTGCCTCAACAACACCATCATAAAGCAATTGAGTTAGCTGGCAATTCTCAATATCCTTAATTACATAACGATCATGAGGCAAAACTTTGTGAATTACATAGGGACCCCGATATTTTGGTACGAATTTTTTTATTGACCCAAGCTGTCGTGTCGACGTTGCGAATGACCACAAAATCTCCTTCCAAATATGTCTTTGGAGGCGTGCTCCGCTGGCTGAGTCGTGGCTCGTTATACTGTTGTGATATTTTGATGTTGTCCAAGGCGGAGGCCCGAACGGCTTGCAAATCAATCGCGCTTTCAACGTTTTGTTTCCTATCTATGTATTCTGTCAAGTGATCTACCTTTTTCCCCTTTTGTTCGATGCCAAAGAGAAGTTTACTGGGTGTATGTGTCGTACTTCAGTGTTCAGTGTTATTCAAGCTAAACTCAACCAATCCGCATGATTAATGGGTTCGCTTATTTTCCCCAGCATCGCCTTTATTACTCTGTTTACTCGCTCTACCTGGCCGTTTGCCTGAGGCGAAGCGACATCTACTTGTAGATGAGAGATATTATTCTTCAATAAAAACTCTTTGAATTCGAGAGACGTAAAAGAGGTACCGCAGTCAGTTATAACTCGCTTAGGTCTGCTATAGTAGCTAAAATATTTGTGGAGACAAGCAATCACTTCCCTTGTACTAGTGGAGTTCATCGGATATAAACGGACGTACTTTGTGAATGCAGCGATTATGACGAGAATGTGCTTACGCTTTGAGTTAATTGACGGCAATGGGCCAAAGTGATCCATGTGGAGGGTCTGTCCCCCTCTTAGGAATACTGAATAAGTTTCGTTCACACACTCGAACTGGTGCTGAATACATGATACATTTAATGCAGTTCTTGATGGACTGATCAACCTTAGCATTCATCTTTGGGAACCAATAATGCTTTTGTTATTGCGAACACGTTTTGTCTATTCCTAGGTGACCGATCTTACCATGAATCATTCTAATGACATTATTTTCCATTTCTTTTGCGACGACCAGTTGCAACCGGTTTTTAATTCTTTTTCTGAACACCAGCCCATCTATTAGCTCATATCCGGGTACGAGACCCCGCTCTAATGTAGCTCTTAACATTTTGATTTCGTGATCTCGGTTTTGTGTGGCCTGAATATGAAGATCAATTTGTTCGGAATCCGAAGTACACACTATACCGCCAATACCATCTTCTTTATGGTTTTTCACAGCTGCTGCCACTAACGTCACATCGGTGGCCACTGCGGTTGGACATCGGCTGAGAGCGTCTACATGACCCATATTTACACCCCCGCGGTGTTGAATAGTGTAATTGTAATTTTCTAGTTCGAGCGCCCACCTCGAAATCCATGGGTTGAGCTGTTGCTTACTGAGGGTTAGCGTTAGAGAATTACAGTCCGTCACTATCTTGAAGGGTATCCCCTCTATATATATCCTGAAACGCCGAAGAGCATATATAATGGCCAATGTTTCCAGCTCAAAGCTATGATATCGTGTCTCGGCAGCAGTAGTAGCTTTAAAAAAAACATCACGGGATGAAATTTACCGTCAGTTTGCCGCTGTAGAAGCACGACGCCAAAACCAATGGAGCTGGCATCGCAGTAGAGTTCGGTCTGCCTCGAGGGATCATATATCGAGAGAACTGGTGCAGATAGTAGCCTGGTCTTCAATTCTTTAAATGCCTTCACGCATTCATCGGTAAGTGCAAACATAGCAGTCGTAGTGGTCTTGCTATCCTTGCATAATCTGCAAAAAATTTCCTGAAGTAGGAAAATAATCCCAGGCATGATTTAACATCTTTTGTAGTTTTCGGTAAGGGATACTCTGTAATTGCTTTTAAATGGGCGTCGCTAGGCCGCTCCCCCGCTGAACTGACACGATAACCGAGGTAATCTATCTCCTTATAGCCGAATCGACACTTGCTCAGTTTTAACCAGGGACGTGAACCGGTTTTGAACCAAACCGGTTTTGAACCGGAAAACCGCTTTTTTCTATTAAATAACTGAACCATTAATCGAACCGAAATTTTCAACAAATGTTTGATCCGAGCCGAAAACCGAACCACTTTTCATAAAGATTTATAGGTTCGATGCATCCATTTTCAATAGACAAATTTACTCACTTTTTTCTCTTTGTTAAATATAGCAATACCATGTTTATTTACCATGTGACAATATCAAATGTAAATGTCAATGTAATGGCAACCCATCTCATTTGACAGACACATGACACTTAAACTTGCGCTCTATTGCAATTTGCCAATTAAAAATTTTACAAAATGTCGAATCATCCCGTGCACAATTATTTTGTTTATTGCGAGTCGAATGATAAAAGCGATTGTAAACATGCGACGTAAAAATGAGTGGAAAACATGGTCAAAACTTACTTCGCCATTTGAAAAGGATTTGTAAGAATTTTTCGTTTTTCTTGAGAGCTCTTTAAAGATTAACTGCGAATGAAAACATTGTCCAAAAATATGCAATGCATACTCACTTACTGTTGCTTTTTACGCTTTACAGCCTAAAAAAGTTTACCACTGATATGTACTTAACAAGCATTCGAAGATTTAATTTGCTAGCTTCGAATTCGTCCAAAGTTAATCGGTGGTACAAATAAAATAAGAAAAAATACTCCGAAGAATTGATAACCTCCCCTTTTTGAAGCCGGTTGAAAATGTCTGACTTCTTTGTAAATTTTATGTGAATAAAATGCAATTTATGAAACTTTAAAAAGTTTATTTATTTATTACATAAATACTGTACATAAATCTTGCACTAATGTATTTAAAGAGCGTATTATCTGAAGCGAATTTTCAATGTTTTCTGATGATATATATTTAGAAGTATAAACCCCTCCCCCAAAATATATTCCTGGGTGCGCCCATGGCACTTAGTATTTATTGTTTGTAAAAAATATATTTTTACTTTCAAAATGTTTGTAATTTTAAATATTTCATGTGTATATTTATGTATATATTTTAAACAACTCA